CATATCAAGCCAGTAAAACTTAAGGACTTCGGATTGAATGACTAAGATAGAGTACCTCGATAAAACTAAAACAGTTACAGGCCCTGTAATTCCGAAACGAAAAAAGAAGAAGAAATAACCACCACTCTTTTTTAGGGGAGATGTGCGATCGAATATCACTTCTACACAAATTAGTGCACACTACACGGTACAGTGCTAATTAACTGTCCCGTCCGAGCGCCATGTCTGACCTGACATCTGCCGGCCGTGCAGCGAGTGAGTGCGGCGGAGGCGGCCGCGGGCGGCGGCAGCAGGCACACGTCCGGTCCGGTGCAGCGCGGCTCGCCCAGCTGCAGGTCGTCCAGGTCGGTCAGCTTGAGCCGGCCGCCGCTGAGCAGGAACTGCTCCAGGCGCAGGTCGGAGAGCGCGGCCGGCCCGAGCGGCGACACGGCCAGGTAGGCGAGCAGCTCGGCGGCGTCGAGCGCCAGCCGCAGCCGCCGCTCCCAGGACAGCTGCAGCAGCGCCAGCTGACTGAGAGGCTCGCCGAGCTCCGTTACCACGGCAACGACGCTGTTCTCGCCGCGGCCCAGCGACAGGCAGAACCCGTACAGCTGCCGGAGGTGGATGGGTCAATGCAAGAGACGGTTACCAGCGAGCAGCGACGGAACCCGTACGGGTGCCGGGTCTGAGCCAATGTCAATGGCAGCTGCACATAATGACAGACATAATGAACAAATGAATGTAATGCATACAGGCTTAAACTGGGGTTTTGGTTTGGGTTTCAGGACGCCTCAGCGACGGAGGCCATTTAGCGTTACAGGCTTAAACTGAATAGAGCCATTGAGCCGTAGCAAAATAAATGAAAATGAATGAGAGAACACCGATTTACCCAGCCCTCACCTCCACGATGGCCGGGTGTCGGAGCTGGTGCAGCAGCTTCACCTCCCTGAACAGTTTGTCGGCCGTACGCCGGTAACACTCGGTGTAGTTGGCGCCCGCCTCCCGGCACAGCCGCATGTCCCTGCCCTCCACATTGACCGTCTTCACGGCCGCCGAGCGGCCCCCGTACGTCGCCTCAAACACCTCCTTGCTCCAGCCGAAGCCGAGCCGGCGGCCCACGGCCAGCGTGGGGAAGTCGGCGCACGTGAACACCGCCCGCCGTCGGCTGCCGCGCACCGAGTTCTGCAGGCGCTGCAGGAACGCCTCGGCGCCTCCGAGCGGCTTCCTCACCGGCTGGGCGGCCAGCTGACGCCACTGGCGCTGCTCCTCCAGCTCGCGCTGCCGCTGCTCCCAGTAGGCCTTCAACACCACCACATTCGCCACCAGAAAGATGAGCACGTAAACCAGCACGAAGGCTGTCAGGTGCGAGACGCGTATCACGTGCACACAGCGTGACAGCTGTACCCGGCAGCCCATGGTGCCTGCAGCTGCACTGAGCTCCCCTCAGCTGCTGAGCAGAAGATGAGGATTGAGGAGCATCAAACAGCCAACTCAGGATGCTAGAAGATCACTGAAAGATGTTGAACTGGTCACCACAAAAAGCAATATCTCTTCCATATGCTCTCAAACTGCAATAAACAATGTCATTCTGCTCCGAAATTTGCCTGGAAAAGATATTGGTTAAAATGGTAATGCTAGAATGCAAACTTTATCAGAACCACTAGCATCAGCTCTAAATGATAAAACACTAGAAGCTAGAATGCAAAGCATGGCAATTTTAACAAGATCAGGGTGGTGTTTCATAGCCACTGCTAGCACACATGGCAAATTCAGTTTTCATGGAAATATCAACAAACTTGGATGCTCCAAAACTGAGTGATCAGTGACTTTACCATAACCTATGACATCAGCATTCAGCTCGCGAAATGCTCTGGCAGCCAGGCAGCGTGGTAGCAGCATGAGACAGTGCCCACTGAAACAGTGTCATCACTGCAGAATGCAGATGCACCGATGGCTGTCACAGATGTAAACCCCGGGATAGGTGAGTAGGTACCTAGGTAGGTACTCAATTTGAATGTAGAGTGCAGGGAGTGAAGTTGGCTAAGGTCACATCTTGACATCTTGCGCCAAAAGTCCTTGTATCGTCCAACTCTAGGCTATAGAACTCAGTATCAGCTGTGTGCCAAAATTTCAACACAATCTGCCTGTTCACTGTTGTGCCAGACATGTTGAAGGTAACATATATTTTTTGTCTGGATTGCAAGTTCTACTTGTGCTATCAACAAACCAATTACCTACTCACAAAGTAGTTCAAGTTCTGACAAATAAGTTCTAAGCTGAGGCTTTGTTCCACATGAGCTCAAACTTTGTTCCACATGAGCATATGAGCATTTACCTCACCATTTTACCAGCATTTGTGTGGTCTGATTGTGCGTCTTGTCAAGTCAACCCGATGTCACAATTTGCAATTTGGCTATCAACTAGGCAGGGGCGAAGAACTGACATTTGTCATGGGGTTTGTTCCCGTCGCTCCTCTAACCTCCTCCAAGCTCCTCTAACCTCCTCTCGTTTCAAAAAATCGTTCCCGTCGCTCCTCCAAGCTCCTCCAAGCTCATCTTGATTTCACATCTCACCACCACTATTTGCCTCCTCCCTCATCCCAAACGAAAGTTGGTTTTTTGGAGGAGGCTCTTGCGTAGACATATTTGGCGCACGTAATACAAATGTGAGTTGTTTATAAATGAGATTTGAGGGAAGTGGAAATGATTTTAGTGATTGATGACGATTGGATATCTTGAAATAGTAATGTTTGATATTAATCTAAGGTTATTTTATTAGAAAGCGATTATTATCTCTTGATTTATGTTTGCGCGCCATAAATCGCCGACCGTTACAGCCCGCAAACAGCTGATTTCCTCGCGAAAATGTTCCCGTGGCTCCTCTGAAACGGCTCTCCTCCAAGCTCATCCAACCTCATCCGAGATTTTTTGGGAGGAGCGACGGGAACAGACCCATGATCTCCAGTGACCAGTGGTTCTTTTCTAGCACCTGGCAAATGGTAGTCAAATTCAAATTATTGCGTAAAAAGCAAATATAGGTACGTTTTCCCAGCAGCATCACTCTCCTCTCGACTTACGCAAAGCAGTTTGGGTCTCAGCATAATTAAAGCACCCCTGGAGCACTATTAAATGGTGACTTTTGAATTTCAGGGGGTGTCAAAAGTCAAAACCCCTGGCTGCAACTAAGTACCATTTACCAACAGCCATGACCACATGACTGTTGGTGCATGACAAACTTGAACTATGCCAATGCTACTTGATAGGAGGGGTGATCAAGCATGCTTTTCCAAATCCAACCCATGCTTTACTTTTCATAAGAAATACTACCGATAAATAATCATGAAATTTGAATATCACCCACGTCAACGTGCCACTCCACATAGAATAACAATAAGCAATAAAAATAAAACAATGAATGGCCTGCCCTAACCTGTGTTCAATTTCAGCGCAAGAAAGGAAACACCAAGGAAACACAACGCGGCACAGCAAATCAAAATACTCTCTTAATTTCAATGATTTGTGTTATAACTTTAATTCTTTAATATGTTTTTGAGTAAAGTAAGCGTGCTTTTGACTGTAATTGAAAGCATACACCTACTTTCGTTTCAACATGCTCTTTCAAAATGGTTTCATGCTGATTTTTGCGATAGCAGGATTCGCACATCGAACACATTTATTGGCACCTCTACGCCATTTTTGTCATTCATAAACGCAAGTAAAGTTCACTAAAACAAAACGACGTCCAAATGCCCGCAAATCGCAACAATTTTTGCGCAGACATCTCTGTCCTTATTGACCTGTTATCGTAAAAAATATAATGCGTCAAGTGGACGATTCGTCAAAGGGCAAGTCCGGGATAGACAGCGCCGTAGACTTATGTATCATCGATATGGAGAAGTCGGTCAGCGCGCGCCACATGTCCGAGACAAAGTTCTTGGATAACCACAGATTACCGCATTGCAGGTTCGAGACTCCATACCGTCCGTGATTTAGGTCGAGGTTCTCTCCATCCAGTCTCACATGCCCACATCCTTTCAAAGAACCGGACCCAGCCCATGCTTCTTGCTTCTACTGCCTAGTCTAGCTGCAGCTACTCCACGCCTGAGGCCAACCCCGTCTAGAAGCTCCTCTCGAGCGCCAAGAGTAGACCGGGGACAGTTCCACCTTTCACCTCAGTCACATGATTGAAATGTGAAATTGTGAATTATTACAATTTCCTTTCTTGACCTCAGATGCTATGCCAATGCAACTTATTCGACACTTATTTATTACGGAGCGAGCGAAGCGAGCGTAGTCTTTCCTTAGATTAACGGAAATTTCTGAGTATGAGCGGCCGGCCGGCCGGCCGGCCGGCCGGCCGGCCGTGGTCACGCTTTTGCGAGGCTTATATCTCAGCAACCACTTGACCGATTTACACGCGGTAATTTTTGTAGGGTAGCTTCATTCCTTCTACCAAGTATTGGACTATTCCCGATGCATGTGGGTGACCCCTTATGCACGTGCCACGTGCAAAACGAAGAGGTGTCACTTTTGTAATTGTTGCAATATCTCGGTAACTACTTGGCCGATTGCGCTGAAAGTTGGCATGTAGGTAGGCACCCACTAGGCACTGCATATACATGTGCCAGAGTTGGGGTGCTGCTGCACGTGCGCACGTGCAGGGGTCGTTTCCAGATCTCGAGAACGGCTGGACCGATTGCGCTCAAATTTGGTACACGGTTAGGGACCGGTTAGTAGGGTGCCGTGCACAAGTCAGTTGGGACCCATTTTGCACGTGCGCACGTGCAGGGTGCCGCTTCCAGATCTCGAGAACGGCTGGGCCGATTGTGCCCAAATTTGGCACATCGCTAGAGACCAGTTAGTAGGGTGCCGTGCACAAGTCAGTTGGAGGTACCCCCTCGCAATTTCGCACGTGCAAGGCCCACCCTCTCGCTCGCTCCGTTAGTCGCCCCAAAAGGCGTTATACTGGTGGTTCATTACTCATAACACCGGGAATCTAGCATTCTATGGATAAAGGCAATGACAAGGACAAAAGTGTATCAGAACATGACAAAATAAGCAACATTTTACAGCTGAATATCTTGTCAATCAAGAGCGCCACGAAAAATACATGTAGAGTTTGCACAATTTACATAAACACAAAAAAAAAAAAACAGGGCAAATGTGCCACGGAAATCGGCAGCAAACGACGCTGATTTATCAGCAGGAAAGACGAGATGAATCGCGTGGTGACGACAGACGTTTAAAAATACATTTTTTTTCTACAACACTTGTTCGGCCAATTTCGAGCCAGCTCCTCAGCCTTTCAGCAATTATCACATATCTATGAAGCACGCGACTGTCGAATTTCATTCACCAATCACGGGCGTCATTTGGACACCGGTCCGGTACATTCCACGTTCGCCGCAAATGAGAATACACACATCAATTTATGCCGTTCGGTCACCGACATCACTCGTGTCGTGGCCTGTGCCTCACGCAGGCGACCCGAGGGCAGAAGGAATGCTGGGCCGGGAGGCGAAGGGCAAAACTCAATGAGCGATCTGTTGTGGCGACTTCATCGGCAGTAGTGTGACATCTCGGTCTTCTGCCGCTTCCGCGACTTCATTCCGGAGAAAAACTCTTGGATGTCCTCTTCACGGACCACCTTCTTGTTCTCAGCGAACTTCTTCAGGTAACTCATCAGCTCAGACTTCAGATCATTGTATTCTGGAACAGCAGAGGGAGGCAGCTTGGTTACAGCTTGGTTTCCACTCCATCGCCATAGACAATCGCCAAAGACAATGGTTTCCACCCGGGATGGCTATAGACAATTGACGTAATTGGCATATAACAATGCTCGCGTTATAGGTCTCAGTGGCGGTTCCATGCCAGTTACTAAACGCACCATCATTTTCCTAACCAGCAAAGTGGCAGACTCACAAACAAGGCTTCCAAAATATACTGAAACTTTAGGATTTCCTGCTGCACAGACCCACCAAAGTTACACGTCAAAACCGTAGCCAAGACCAAGCACCTTTCAAATCTCCACCCTACACCGACAAGATCCCTTAATCTAACCCATACCGTAGCCCAGGCCCCACCCGCGGCAGGTCTGCGGTGTCGGGACGCGCGCGGCGGTAGCTTACCGTGCACCACCTCGATCTGCTGCACTCTGTCCATGTTCTCCAGCGCGCGCATGCCGGCGGCATAGCTGCCGGCGTCGCGGCGGCCGCGAGCCTCGTACGCCGCGACAGAGTCCTCCTCGTCGAGAAGAAACTCCACCGACGAGGTCTGGTACATCGCCTGGTGGGCGGACGGAGGAGACTCAGTGGTGGCAGAGGCAAAATCGGCCAAAAAGGGTGACAGGCGCACACACTACCGATAGGAACAAGATGCGAAGCGATGGAAGACGGAGGTGCAGCCTTTGTATCAGTACCTCCTTGTTTGGATGTGCCAATGAAGTAGGCAGGGAAGGAGTCATCAGTCATGTACGATAATAAGACATTTTCGTAGCTTTTGATATTTATGAAAGTTCTTTCTACCCATCACGACCTACGCACTTCGGTTCTGCGACACCTGAGCGAGCGTCATTTCAGCGAACGACATTTGAGCGAAGCCTTTTCAGCGATTATCAATTTAAGCGATTGACTTTTTCAGCGATTGTCAAGTCGACGAATTAAATCACAGCGATTATCAACTTAAGCGAGGACCAGAATCAGCGAAACCAGATTGAGCGAGTATATGGAGGTCAATGGGGGACCAACTGAGCGAACACAGTTACAGAGAAACCGAACGCGACGGAAGTCAATCATTTGCTACTTTTCGGGAATTCTTGCCCTTGGAACCCGTTTGGTATGTGTCATGCTTCAAGCTGCGCGCGGCAAATTGAAAATTTTCTTTTAAGCTTGGAAACCACAAAAATATTTGGCCTCATTCTGCAACTTTGATCTGGAAATGTGGAACGCGAGAGATAGGACGATGGAAGTAATGCCAAGCCAAGGACCAATTATAAACTCGAGGGATGGCACAGGGGATCCAGTCTATGTTTCAGGGACCTCACCTCACCCAAATATCTGGAAATTCGTACGGTGCTTGGGGCAAGAACAAATTTTACAACATGGGGAACTGATCCAAATTCAAGCGGGGGAATTTCGCGAAAAACAGCACAGGCAATATGAATCTCTGAACAAACGTTTGGTCATCATTATTGGCAAACAGCAGGGGGGGGGGGCGGGGGGGGGGGGGTGAAATCGAACCACTGTAATTTTTGAGAAATGTGGCATTAAATTGGGAGCTTAATGTCTGAACTTTGAACGTGACATTCGCCATCCAGTTCCAGATAACCATGTTCCGGAAACATTCGTTGTACGTACGCTCGCAAAAGAAAAAAGAAAAAATACACCGTTACGGGACGATGAAGTGTTTCGCTGAAATGACAGTCGCTCAAACTGTAGTCAACGAAAAAGATGTCGCTGAAACATAGCTTTCGCTTAAATTGATAATCGCTATATTTGATAATCGCTCAATTTGATATTCGCTAAGTTGCCAGTTGCTGAAAATGGTTCGCTCAAATGACGTTCGCTCAAATGACACTCGCTAAAGTCGCTCGCACCGACGCACTTCACATGCATTGAAGCTCTGCTTGTATTGTGAAGGCTGGGAACTGAAGAATGGGTAAGCATCTAGGAGTACCTAAAGGGCAGGTTCAATCCCATAGGTTCGGGGCACACACAACATACCTTACAGTCGTCGCATGTGCAGAGAAGTTTCCGCCATCCCTGCTTCCAGAACAGCGCCCCCTTGGCTTTGGACGGCGACGGCAGCTTTCCAGACGGAAGCCGGCACGAGGACTCCTGTGAAACAGGCACACGTCATTGTAACTATAAAACGCGCACAAGCACACGCCATTGTATTATTGCGGATTAATCGCATGCCTTACCATGCCTTAGTATAACATAGAAGGAACGAACATATGGGTCTGCAAGCAGGTCAGTCGTTCGAAGCTGTCACGTTTTCCGGCTCTTCATTCAAGATAAGAACAGAAGGAATCATGATCACGAACACGTCCCCGGGCCCCTGGGTGTCGAGTGTGAACTGGCTTTATCTAGTCGCCGAACCAGTAACCGGACTTCGCTCGATGGAATTTATCACACGATATAAAAGGCTGGAAACAAGACAACGCGCTCCGCACTGTGTACCACGCGCCCATCGAACACCAACGCAACCCAGCTGCTGACATCCCAGCTACAAGGATTAACGTCCATTGATACACTTATCAGCCTGCAGACCAAAACGCAACATCGCCACGGTCTTTATACAAACCTTCCGGCGGTAAACTACTGTGCATGAACATTTAGTTTTTGAACCCGCACAAGACCAATCACCAAAGACGTGAAATTAGAAATAGTCTTCAGTCATTCATGGAGAATGGTCATTGACGTTACTAAGCATTAGGTACAATATAAATGTTGCCCGATGAGTCACTTCCAAGACCGAGTTTCCACTAATGACCGCTGAGAGACTAAGTTTTATAAAACATAAGCAAAAGGATAGTAGAATTCGAGTGGATAGGTAACATAACTACAAAGCTGGCGGGACAATCTGCATATCTACATATACGATAAAGATATCGACAACGGAATACGCAATACAAACCTTCTTGGGACTGTTCTTTGGACTAGCACTGGACACTTTCTTTGGCGATTTGTTTGAAGTATTCGCTGCCATTTCTGGAAAAAGGAGAATAAATATCATATGATTAACGTTTACTAATACCTTTAGAACAGACACGCAGCAACTATAATGCCTGTTCATTTTTAGCGACAACGTAATTCAAAACTTATTCCGATGAACTTTGAGATAAGCTCAGAATACGCTTCATTCAATGTCGTGCATCTGAGCAATACAAATTAGGTTACACTAAGCTACCACACTAATACACTACCACACATCAACTAATTAGGAGTTCATTATACACAGACTGTCCCGTCCACCCCGCCTCACCGGTATCGGCGGCGTAGCGGCCGAGGAAGGGGAGCCGCTCCACGCACCCGGCGCACGTCATCTCGGCGTAGTCGCTGTCGGCGGGCGGACGGACGCCCATGTGCTGCCGACGAGAGACGGGAGGGTCAGGTGGGACTGACGCCGAATAGAAGACAGCTGCTCAGAGGGCCCGGCTGGGGGCGGGTAGGGACGGTTCAGAGCGGGGCTGGGGGCGAGCAGAGGACAGTTCAGAGCGGGGCGAGTAGAGGACCGGGCTGAGGGCGAGTAGGGGCGGTTCGGAGCCGCGCTGCCGGGGCCGCAGTCATCACCGTCAGCCTCGGCCCTCGAGAGCCAATTACCCTCAGCCGCAGCTGCCGCCCAAGATGGACGTGCCCGCTGAAATACCACACATTTCCTCCCATGACAAATTACATGATACCAGGAAATCCAGGGCAATACAAATATCGCAACAATATCTCGAAATGGCTTATGCATGAATCGGTAGAGCGCAACGACAGAGTAATCGGGGAAATAAAATGATTCATCACTTCATATTAGTATCCGGCATTCTTGGAACAAAATCATCCCGATTTCCCGACACCTTATTAAATACGTCGGATACGCAAGATGCATCTTTGAGACGGAAAATGATAGCCGTCAGTGTTCAGCGTAAAAACCATTCGTGATGTAAACTGCTTATGCATCTGCGGCAATCAACTATCCCCAAGGTCATCATTATTCTAAAAAATCAAGAGACAACGGAACAAACAACGAAACAAACAAGCAAACGAACAAACCAAAAAAGGCGCGCCGCCACTGACCCGTCCGTGGAACCAGTCCTCGCAGACGACACACTGCACCATCTGGTCGGGCGTAGCATCCTCCGGGTCCGGGTACGGCCGGCTGCACGTGCAGTAGAGGCCGGCGTAGTTCTGGTTGTACGAGTTCGCCTCGTTGTCGCCTGTCTTGGCCGTCAGGCGACACGTGACGTCCGGCATACGGCAGCCGCCGCAGTCGCAGCGGAAATTTCTACCGGATGACGGAGGATCATAAATAGGTGGGTAGCGGTTTTGATTAATCAAGGTTAGTTAGGGAGAGGGAGCGTTTTGAAGGTTCATGTTTTTTTCGGCTAGACCACAACTGCCGCGAAACACTGTTAACACACTTTATTCCTAGCTTCATTTTGACAGTGCAGAAATTTATGCCAGCCATCATCCACTGCAGATCGATCACGGCATCACGCAGCGGGTAGATGCACCATGTAATTGATTCATACTCTGCAATGGCACCGTGCGTTTACACTGTGTGTATGCATCGAACACCCTTGTCGGATTTCCGATTTCACCACTCCTATAGTCAGATATAATCGGATTCGTCGGATACTAATGTCGGACATAGTCGGATTAAATTTTCACCGATAATCAACAACGTTGAAGAACAAAAACAAAAGCAAGGCAATGACAATGGCCCAGTGATATCATTTACAGTACAAGAAGTAACCAATTCGACAACAATTGCATTCAATGCAAGGCCATCTATGGAAGGTACAGTCACTCCCCCGCCGACCAATCAGAGACAGATCCTGAGTGACGTCACCCCTGATGCTCGCAAGGAGTACTCCATTCCTTTAAAACGTCAAAATGACTAACTTCATTTGAAGATTGCTGGTGACACTCTACACATATCGCTCAACCGTTGATGTCATTGGAAAGTCCAACTAATTTTCTAGCGATAAAAAAAGAGCAGCAATATGCTAAGAAATGGCCAGTTTTGAAGATATAGACTATTTAAAAATCCCCTTCAGTTGCAGGAAAGCAACGTAAAAACGCATCGAGTTTATATTTTTACTATAAATAAATCATTTTTCAGTAAGTTTTTAGATATGGTATCGATTTAATCATCAACTTTATTAAAATATTTTTATTACTTGTAACTTTACTTCAAAATAATATTTTCAAAAATGGCAACTGTTGGTAAGTAGCTTTGAAGCGATTGTGGCGCACTGCGCCATTATTGTCCTGAGGCCCCCTTATGATGTCATCAAAAGTGGAGTGACATGGGCCTGATTCAATGCGTCTTACAAGTTATATGAGCTGGTTGTTTTGACGTTATATGACATCTCTGATATCTACACAAAACTGAGGTGAAGACAAATATGACGAGGCGTTTGCGTTGGGGCTGCTGCAGAGTAGCCCGTGTTTTTCAGCGGCAGGTTCTACATCTCAAGCGTTACCAAACAAATAAGGATATTCGGAAAATACGAATGTGTGCGAACTGTTTGACACCCCGGCATCACTGCAAAGTCCGCTCATTAAGCGGCTCGCCCAGACAAAACGGCTACGAGATTAAAAAACTTCCAAGCATCCGGAGGCCACACTGATTCAAAGGCCGAGACCCCGGGTGCTGTGCACAGGGGTTAGTAGTATTTTACTTGGGCTTCTGTTCATATCAGAGGCAGATAATTCGAACTTGGAACTCTATTCCATATTTTGTTGATTAGAACATTAGGGGGCGTCGACTGCGGTGGTCATTTTGCATCCATCTACTCCATATTTAGAATACTCCAACAGGCATGTAATAATCACATTAGAAAAGGTCCCGTCATGTAAAAAAAAAAACTAATCTAACAGCAAGTTCCCGCAACATTTTTCTTGATCGCATCCCAAAGCCTCGGCTTAGCGGTTTTTTTTCTTTTCTTTTTGACAGTTTGGGCGATGACTCCAGTGATCGTCAGACGCACGCAATGTCCCTCTCTCCCCATTGGTTCATCATTGTTGTTGATAAACTGACGTTAATGATCGGCAATAATGGCTCACTCATGTTCGCCTGACAGCCTAAAGCAGAAACTAAGAGCATCTATAAGTAGCGTTCGCCATAACTACAATATCGATTACGCCTGAAAATGGACTGATTGTATCCGATAAACATTATAAATGTACGATTAAGTAGATAGACACTCGGAGGCGGGAGGGGCGCGTTCTCCAACAGACCTCATTGGTTTATTGAGCATATCCTAAATAAAAATAAAAAACAGTAAGATGATAATTGATACAGCAACGAATTAACGTAGCCACATGAGCTAGAGGCCGTACGCTGAAGGCACACACTCGATCTGCAGTATGTGTTGCAAACGTGACAGCTCTTGGCGTTCATCGGCCACTCTATGAATTGACGCCATCGCTCCTTTTTTTATGTCTAGGTGATGGGAGCTTCACAGCCTGATGTTTGGCTGCCTTAGAACTTAAAAGCGTAATGGCGCAGGTAGCCGGATATATCATCACACTCAGCAGGACTTTGACCACCATCCATGACCTGATAGTGACCTTCGGACAGGACAGCATGGGGCAGCAGAGAGCGCAGCAGCGCGTGCTTCTTAGAGATAAGACGTCAGACCAGCGAACATAAAGCGCAAGGATCACATAAAATGGAGTGTGATGCGATATTCCGCTGGCATGCTAGAGCAAACAACGTCCATTACTTGAGAGTACTAACACAGCTTGTTACACCAAAGCTTCCTCTTAGAGCTATCTTGTGGGCAGTGAGCGCACACCAGCATGCCTGGTGCAGTTATACAAACTTTTACATCCGCTTAATATGTAGCCTCATGTTATATGCCAACAACGAATACCAAACTCAAGTGCCCGTTCCAAGCACATGAGTATTGGGTAGCTAACACAGTAACGAGTGTGCCAGACGTTCCAGCTGACCCACCGTTTGGTGTAGAGCTCCACCAGCTCGTGCGCCTCGTGACAGTGGTAGCTGCAGGCCAGGCACACGCCGGCCGGCCGGTCCTTGTCCGAGCAGGTCAGACACGAATACAGTGGCTGGCGCTTCATGTACCCCTGCGGAAGACAGCACAAAAGTCAGAGACGGCACCGGGGTCCTGCGATGTGCGATCAGCGATGCATTGGTTATCAGTATCACTACATTCGTATGTTTGATCAACAAGAACGGTCATTCCGAGACCCGTAACCGGACCGATTTTCATCTGTGTATCGTTTTTCTCATAGGCTCAAATCTACGTCGCAATTCTTCAAAAGCAGAGCCAATATTTGGTATGCTTATGGGTATGACAAAATAGCATTAAATATGTATGTTCATATCTGTGGCGTGTGGTATCTCGCCCCAATCCCGTCAGTCACTGGTGATAGCCACAAGGTGGAATTCGGAAAGGCAGTCCTATGAAAGATAAGGTGGCCTGAGTTCAATCAATGGAGGCAGACCTTTGAGGCCCTACACTGACATTTGGTGACAGAGGCTAGGAGGTGCTGGAAATGATAGGGAGGAAGTTGCAGGGATCTCAGTGCCATGGGCACATGTTAAAATTTGTGGAAGGCATGTGTGTCAGCAAGCAAAGGTTGCAGATAGAGTATGGACAATATTTACAAAGGCAAAGACGTGCAGACAGTAACAAATGTAATATGATAAATGTGAGATTCTTGATCATTATCAAATAAATTATAAATGTGATACAAAGAATGCAATGGCAAAGACAAGGACAGGCATTTGTTGACAAACAATGTCAGTCAAATCAACAATAATGAATAAACAGTGATGCTTCTTGCAGATTTAGCAAAAGCCCTGTTTCATATTCACAGTTAAACGGTCTAAAAAATAAGTCACTTATACTGTATAGTATACCGATTGCATTACAAAACTAAAAATTTGTCATATATTTTTTCACAAATGAGCAATAATAGTTACAACCTACAACCAGGGATGCGGAGCCGTGAAAATTTCAGACGGCTCCGACTCCGGCTCCGGCTCCGGAGAAAAAATCGGCTCCGGCTCCGGCTCCGGTTCCGGGTGAAATCTCATGGCGGCTCCGGCTCCAGCTCCGGCTCCGAGTAAAATGGTCCGGCTCCGGCGGCTCCGGCTCCTACTCAGTAGTCAGTACATATCCTATGCGATTAATTAAATACGGGTGGAAGAAAAAAGGCGATTCGATTGGTGCACGTTGCTTCTGTATGTGCATAACAAGGCAATTTTGAATACCACATGTTTTACTGTCTTGTACCGTCAAACCGAACTAAGGTCAATAATTGTTTTCCTCTTCAAAAAGGAGCCGGAGTCGCCCCCTTTTTTGACGGCTCCGGTTCCGGCTCCGGCTCCGGGCTATATTGTTTCACGGCTCCGGCTCCGGCTCCTGGCAAAATATGCCGGCTCCGGCTCCAGCTCCGGCTCCGCACCCCTGCCTACAACCCACCTGATCATAGGAGCAATGCTTGTCATCTGTGTTTCCAAGCACAGCGGCAGCATCCTCGTCAAGCTCCTCCTCCTCTTGCAGCACGTCCAGCATTGTGACGCTGTCCTCATTGGGAGGAATGGCCGAGCCGCTGCTTCCCGCTTCCGCTGCGCCATCAGACATCTGCAGACCGCAGGCACAGTCCACACTCCAAGTCAGACATGTGAAGTTCTATAAAATTCCTTACACTGATGCTTTTTGACAGTCCGATGGAGATGGTGATGACGATGATTCTGTGAAATCACCTATGCTGGTTAAAACATGCATACCGAAGCACCTGGCCACCTTAGCATTTCGAAAATTGTCAAAATACCAGGTTGATTGGTTGGTTTGGATTTCTAAATGCCAGATACTGGTGACTGATACCAGACATTGCAAACAACAATATAACCATATGAACCATATTGATATCTATATAAAAGCAGGCCAAGGCCCCTGTTCTCCTACCTGGAAATTCTAAGACACCTCGGTTTATATAGCCTTGGACACCTCACTAGGCTACAGTTCAGACTTGTGTACTATCAATTTGTCCAAGGGCATTGACCTTTGATAATAATCAACAGAAAATAAATTGTATTGCTCCTATAAAAATAAAAATATCCGTATAACCATCCGGCCTTGAACCATCCTAATGTGCGCCATTTTTGTAGCGTCCCAATAACAGCTGATCTTTTGGCGCGCGCACAATCGCTGCCATATGTCACCAAATTTACTTTACCCTATAGAGTAAAGTTAGGTAAAGTACAGCCATTGCCAAATAAGCATCCTCAGTCAGCCGATTTATATCACAGTAACAGTTGCGTGAATAATGTGATATTCTAATCTGGCGGAGCCCTTCGTCTTGCAGAAAATATCTAAAAAATATATTCTGACCTTCTGAGTACGTGACACAAACACCTCGGCAAGTCCGCCCGACCTATAGGTTTTCTACATACGCGCCTGCCGAGGGGAGGGGGGGGGCGGGTACAACCCCCCTCGCCGTTTCGCCCCTGGTGGAGCTAGCGCGTCGCGGAAAAACGAGCGTGTGCGCCGTTACGAGACGCTGAGATTGGTACCCGATTTTAAGGTCCTAGGTCAACCAGTGACCTCTGAGGTCAGGTCAAGTGCCCCAAGGTACGGTTCAGTTTTTGGTGAATAACTTCGCAAAAAAACGGCCGCAGAGCCACGATTTTGGCAGCATCGTGTTCGCCTCGTTCAGGCGCGTCGAATGATATACTTTTTGTTTGGGTCAGGTCAACTTAGAGTGTTGACCTCAGGTCAAGATCAGGTCAGCACCCCCAGGTCATGAAGCTGGTCGAAAGAGGGCATGTCGCATATCATTCGATTTGGCAGGTCTTCCTGAGTCCATTGGTGGCTTTCCCGACTCGCTAGCTCAATTTGATCAAGAGTTATTGACGAAAAACTAATATGACCTTGATGACGTCATAAATGACGTCACGCAAGGTCAACATTGCAAAAGTGACGCATCTTACCTTGCAAGGAGTGCATCAAATCACGATTCTGTGTGCTTGAGAATTGAGATAGTTAGAGATAGTTCCCGGCGGCAGAATAGCAGTTTGAATTTTTCCCCATTGACTTATAGGGGAGAGTGGGGAAAGATGCCCAGGGTTTTGCTTTGTCATATATTATTCAAAAATGACGATCGGAAAGCAAAAACTTGGAGTTTCAACGGAAGCCGACATCATTTTTTTCCAAAAATATCACACTTACGTGCCTGAAATATGATAACTTTTTTTGCTATTAAGCATTTTCCTGAAGAAGTGAAAGGGGGCATCTTACCCCACAGGGTGGGGAAGACGCCCCCTGAGGTTGGGGAAGATGCCCCCTGCACTATAAGTGACATAAATGGGCACGTGAATCGCCTGAACGAATCAGTTGTCCCTTCGAGCCTGCAGAAGACACCAAGCGTCATCGTAAGGGCCCTCACAAGTAGTCGTAAGGGGCTTCAAAGGTCATCGTTGGGGCTATCATAGTCCAGCGCGGCCAAACAAGCCTCCGTGGTGGCGTTCGGAGACCAATGTGGGGCCTTTATAGGTCTTCATGATGCTTGAGGGCCCTCGAGCCCATCGTGGGGACCTCAGATGCCAGCGCGGCCCGTGGAGCCAACGTGGGAGCCCTCAAAGGATGTCATGAGGGGCCCTGGAGCCAATAATGGGGCCCACAGAGGCCGTCGTGAGGACTCTCAGAGTCAGGTGCCGCCCAAAAAGTCGCTGTGTGGGCCGAGAGACCGGCATGGGGAGCACCCGACCGTACTGGACTCTCAATAGTCCCAGATCGGCTTTTGTCTCTCATTACAAGTATGTAATAAATGATTTGACGGGCTGCTTGAAGGACAGCCTAGGGATTTAGGGGGGCGTCTTTCCCCATCAGGACAGGGGGCATCTTACCCGAAGGTACCGAAGTAATATTAAATCAGCACAATTTGTTAGCCATACAACTACACCCTGAAACAAACTGTTTGGGACACAGTACACGCATGTCAATGTATCACGACTATAGCAAGGGACGCAAAAATTATCTACCTTCTTTGATATTTACAATGTTTTGACACCAAAATATTTTTTGAAAGCAGCAAATAAAAAACATGCAATCACCAGCCAGCCGTTGCCCAACTGAGCTTCGCAAATTTTTGTGCAGTTAACAAGGCAGGCTTCCGCTTTACGCTAAGAACATTAATTTCCAGGTTCGATTCTTTGTTTCGCCGCTAGAGGGGGTGGGGCGTCTTTCCCACCCTGGGCATCTTACCCCACTCTCCCCTAAGGTGAGGTCACGAAAATGACCTGACCTCATATGACCTTTAGGAAAAATCCGAGATATACAAGTTGTGAGACTTACATTGGATCACGGTCATAGAATACTAAGGTAACACGGAGCCGAAGCTTCAAGCCAGGGGACACGGGAGGCATGCCGTCAGCTGTCCATTTATAAATAATCGGTTTCTTTGACTTAATTTCTAATGTTTTTCTGATGTTTTGCATCAATGAGGTACATCAAAAATTAAGTTTTATTTTTTTTTGAGGTCGAAAATATTTTGTTGTCCAAACTATCCCCGTTTAAAGAAAATAGACAAGGGGAGAGTTTACCCAGGACCCTATGGAGAGAGTCAACCCAGGGCCCTATGGGAGAGAGTTAAAGGGACCCTCCCACCTTAACATTAGTTTTGAGTTGAGATAGCCAAGTTTGCGGCCAGGCTCAGAAACCACCATTTATCCTGGTCGCAACCCCCACAGCTTTATGGTGTTCAAGAAATTTCTTCCCTTTACTTGCAGGGTGGGACCAGCGTGGTCCCTATCTCTTAACCATTACGGGAATCTGATGACGTCATCAGGCTTTCGAACGTCCGTTAAATGTTTGACTAAAACGTTTTGTAGCACGCGGTGGTATATGCTGCTTTGCGCGCAACAAATGCCGCACTTTCAAATAAAGTCGCTAGGAACAGCGGAGATCCCAAAAAGTAAACAAAAGTAAAAGTCTAATATCTTGAAAACCGGTGAATATTTTTCGATGAAATTTGGTAGATATTCGTTTTTGCTCTTTCTGAACCGAGCGACATCACTTTCATGCCAATTCATTAACTTTTTTGAAGGTGGGAGGGTCCCTTTAACACGTGCTTCTATGGGGCGAATTCGATGCAACAATGGCGCAGTAGCGACATTACTCTTGTTCGATGTTTTTCGGACGACAAAGATTCTACGCCATTCGGCCAATCACATTCCATAATTGCAGCCGAGCCCCCGTTGATCTAGAACGGGATTGGCCGGACGACGTACAATCTTCGTCGTCTGAGAGACATCGAACGAGGGGTACATCGACTGAACATACATTGCGATTCAATATTCAGTATTTTATGACCGTGATTGCAATCCAAATTTGCATTTGAGCTCAGCAGTCGAGTGTGGTGCCAAAAATACCAGAAGCGATGTCCTATATACGGCCTTGACCAGAAGTGTTGCATGCCCTGGATGCAGAAAAACAAGATTGAGATGAGTGGATCAAGATGTATCTTTCGTGCAGATGTATCAAGATCAAGATGAGATCCTTTCACTTAAGATCCATGCAGGTGAGGTTCCAGTGAAATTTGAATTCGATAGGTAGCTATTTTTGATTTTGCTTTGATACTTGTGGTAAGGAAACATGATTATGGTTGCATGAACCGCCCACTGCTCATTGCTGTCTTGTCTCACGTTCGATATCCGATCACCATTCTTAAATAGCTCACCCCATATGGAAATCAGGTTTCAGGAGGCCACTAGGCTTGTGGGGCCTGGTCTCAATGAGCTCCCAGTGCTAAGGACAGTCAGGCTCATATGCTGGGTAAGGTCAGGTTCAGGTAGGCCAGTATGCACTCTGCAAAGCATGGCAATTTCGACAAGATCTCGTCTGTGCTGGCTTGTCCGGCTGGTGAGGCTTTGGTGTGGCGTGGATTTAGCTTGGTGCAGTGCGGATTTTGTGTAGCGCGGTGCAGATTTGGTCTGGTGTGGTCAGGTGGTGGGGGATGTAGTGTAGTGCATTTTAAATGTGGCTGATAGGTGTGCGGTGGTCAGAACGGACTGTGCCAGTGCTGGTGCCTGGTGGTCCCACCAATCACGGGGGTCATCTCCTGTTGTGACCCAGGGCCCAGGGGGTCTAGTCAAAACCTTACCTATTTCTGCTAACCTAAACCTATTTCTTACAAATTAGGCATAAATGTGATTATGGTATAATGATAATTAAACCTGGCCCTTTTTCAGGCGCAAGCTTTGGATGAACTTCTGCTTCTGCGGTCGGCATTCTTACAGGAGAACCCAAGATTCATTGTACCTACCTGTATGCATTTCAAAACTGAATAATTGATAGCAACAAGTAAATATTTGAAGTTGCAGCCAAATGCTGTGCCTTCTCTGCTGCAAGAGCTACATGTCACCATTGAAGCAAGGTAAGTGTTAAAAGAAATTGTTCACCTTCTGTGAGTAACTTGATAAATAAAATTTAAAAAGGTGTGTTAAAAATGTGATGAATAAAATTTAAATGTATTCTAACTTGGAATTACACACTTCTGTGAGAGTGTTAACTAATAGCTCTGCGTGTGTCCGCTAGGTGGCAGGCCGGTAGCGAGCATCTGACCGGTCACTGCGCCAATAAACAGTACGCGGCTAGACACGAGCGAGTGCGTTTGTGCAGACGGAGCGCGGACGAGTACGAGAGACGGAGCGAACTCACACATGGCGCAGCCCGACGAGAACCCCGGCGGGGGCCCGGCCGCTAGTGACGATGAGAGTGAGCACGGTGCTGTGGTTGCCTTACCAGAGGGGTGTTCACGGGCACCGCACACTGCTGCGTGCGCTGTGTGCGGTACGTCCAGCAGGCGTGGGGGTAGGGGATGGGTAGGCGGCTCTGACGTCACGGCTGCGTGCGGTGGACGGTCCGCTGTGGCCAGTCCCGACCGGCCACAGCGATCGCTGTGTGCGGTGACGGAAGGCTGACGTAGGGACGCAGTGGGCGGAGCTTCGAGGCTGTGTGCGGTCCGACCGCACACAGGGCCCGTGAACAGCCCTCAGCGCAGTGGTTAAGTCGATTGACACAACCTGATAAACTCGACCTCTCTGTGGACAGAGGAGCCGCCTTCAAGACGTGGAAAACGCGATGGACCGACTTCGTCACACTTTCTGGCCTGACCGCACAGCCCAAGGCGGTGCAGTTGGCGATGCTGCGATCCTGCCTCTCGGACGACACCGTCCATATCGTCGAGAATATGGGGCTGTCAAGGTCAGACGGCGAGAACGTCAGCAAAATCATCGAGAATCTGGAGCGACACGCTATAGGACAAGTCAGCCAGGTGATGCAAAGGCGAGCATTCAACCTGAGAATCCAACAGGACGGCGAGACATTCGACGACTATGTGACGTGTCTCAGAGACTTGAGCAGGGACTGTGGATATTGTGATCGGTGCAGAGACAGCCTTATTCGCGATCGAATTGTAGTGGGTATCCGTGATGCGGATGTCATCAGGCGTTTGTGTGCCATCCAAAGTCTGACTCTGGACGAGGCGATAAACATTTGTCGGTCAGAGGAGTGTGCGGCGCGCGACGCCCTTCAGATCGCGGACGGCAGCGTTGGCCCGGGCGTGGCGGCTGCGCGGCGTGGCCGGTCGGTGGTGCCGCCCGCGGGCACGGTCGGTCGAGGTCGGCGGCCGGACCGTGACGTCACTGACCGCGTTTGGACTGGGCCGGTGGACCGGCGTCGGGCACAGCCCGCCCCTCCCCGTGCGGCCCGGCCCGCTGCCGACCGGCAGTCACGTGATCGCCCGGGCGAGGCCTGTCGCCGCTGCGGCCGCGGGCGATGCCGGGGAGAGAACAGCTGCCCCGCCATTGACAGCGAGTGTTTTCGCTGCGGTGAATACGGCCATTGGGGCCGTATGTGCGACAGGAGACTGGGGCCGAGAAGGGCCAATGCGGTATCCGTCGGTGAGAGCGCCTGTGAAGACGACTGTACTCAGCTGAATATGGTGACGGTGAACGGTGTTCAGCACAGATCGGCGCCGACGGTTGCAGTGGACGTGTTCGGTACCAGGCGCGGGAAGTTGCGAGCTCTTCCAGACACTGGAGCCGACATCAGCCTGGCCGGCCCTGAGTTTGCAGAGACGTTCGGCCGTGGTCGCATGACACCTTCAACAGTGCGTCCGATGGTGGTCGACGGCCGATCCTGTGACTCCATAGGCAAGGTGGAGGTCACAATCAGGATGGGAGACA